GGTGTCATTTGGTCTTTCTATTTCGATGACTTTTTGAACATATGTCGCAGCGCAGAAAAGAGACATCTGGACATCGTCTTGAACGTTTTCTTTCAGCTGCTCGGGTGGAAAGTATCGCATGACAAGTTGGTGCCATATGACACCTGCTGCAAGGTGCTTGGGATCTGCCTAGATCTGGGGCAAGCTCTGAAAGGTTATGTGTTGCTCAAAAACACGGACCGACGCAGGCGTGAGCTCGTTTTCGAGTTGGAGCGTGTGCTGCAAGCAAATACCCTGTCCAAGGCGGACGCAGAACGTCTGCGAGGTCGAATGCAGTTCGCCAGCGGCCAGCTGTATGGGCGTCTCGCCCGTCAGGCATTGCATGCTTTCTCTTCGAGTCGGCCGCGGGGCCTTGAGCTAGGAGACAAGTTGACTTGGGCCATCAAGCACCTGCTGGCATTACTGAAGGAAGGACATCCTCGAGAAGTGTCACGGCGCTTGGCCCACACGCGGCTTGTGTTCGTGGATGCCAGCTTCGAACCCGGTGGTTACTGCGGTATTGGTGGGTTGGTTTTTAGTGAAACGGGGTGCCTGCGTCACTGGTTCGGGTGCAAAGTGCCGAACTCGCTGGTCACCTTATTGTGCCAGTGCGCTTCGGGCGCGAGCGTGATACTGTCATTTATGAGCTGGAAGCTTTAGCGGTAGTGCTGGCACTTGATCTTTTTAAAGATGAGCTCAAGCATTCCAATGCTGTAGTCTTCACTGACAACTCCGGAGTACATGGCAGCTTCGTGAAGTGCTGGTCCGACAACCCTGTCGGGAATGCACTTGCATACTTCGCTGCACTGCGTGAGTTTGAGCTTCATGCCTTCTTTTATTATGATCGTGTGCCGTCAGCTAGCAACCCAGCTGATGAGCCATCTCGGGGGGAATGTGCCCTGCCCATACACAAGCGCATCAACCTGGATGCAAAGTGCATCACAGGATTGCTTGAGAGCGTGCTCTCACGTAGTGAGCAGCTCTCATGACGTGCCCGCCTGTTTGACGAGGGGCTGGCCAAAGTGGGCTACTCGCAATCCCCATGCATTGAAAAAAGTGAGTGCGCTTGTGAACGAATCGGGACTTATATTCTTTATGTTTCATAGATGGAGAATGTACTTCGTCTACTGGGAATGCCCGGTGTTTTACAAAGGGAAATAAGAAAACGCTCCACGTGCGGATAAGTTTGTATTTCCCTGTAAAACAAATTTATTTCATGTGAAATAAACTAAATAATTAGGGCATGTCCTTTTTCCATGCTTGGATTTTAACTGCTTGATTTTCCATGGCCTTTCCAACATGTCGATTGCTTGCATCTTCTTTGCAACAGTGATGACATTTATGTGCATGTATTCGGTGATCTCAAGTGGGAGGTGTGGGTGGGACCCCCGAGTTTTTGTGTAGAAATTTTTTGTCCCGCCCTACCCGCCCTGGATGAACGTGCTCCGCAATATACACCGATCCTGTTGTACATATTCCACTGATGTGCCCTGGGCCCAAAGCCCTGGCCAAAGTGGGCTACTCGCAATCCCCATGCATTGAAAAAAGTGAGTGCGCTTGTGAACGAATCGGGACTTATATTCTTTATGTATAATAGATGGAGAATGTACTGCGCCTCTTTTCGCTGGCATTGCGTCTGTTTGAGGCCGCGGCTTGTAGCTGCCACCTCACACGCTTTTTTCCAGATGCATGATCCACCCTTGCGGCATTGCACAGAACGCTCCCTTCTCTGTCCTTGGATGATCACGCCGTTTGCCAGTCTTTTGCTTGCATGCCTCCGCCCATATGCACCCACCGCGAATTTGCCCCCGAGCTTAGGGAACTGTGCGCCTTTTTGACTGAGCACTCTTTGCGTTGCATGTCCGTGACGCACTTGCCTGCCAAGCATTGTGCTGCCGGGGTTCTCTACTTCGTCTTCGTCGTGTACTGAGAGGGGCATGTTTCACCTTAGGATTAGGACGTCCTCTGTTTTGTTGTTGTTTGGTTGTTTCGCGCAGCTGCCGTTGCTTGTATGCTCTAGCTACTTTTCACTTCCGACCCAACCCACAAGACCGGCCTACTGAGCTGCTGACGTAGTAAAGAGGCGCCCATTTCAAAAAAAAAGAATTCGATGCTTCCGCTGTGGCTGACGCTTTACAGGCCTCTTCAGATTTCTTCTGGAGGGCCACTTAGGTTGCCGACCGCAACCGCGCGGTAAGACGGAGCCTTGGTTTTCGACGCTTCCGCTGTGGTTTCGGGTGAGGTGACCGACCGCAACGGCGCACGCGGCGGGGCAACCTGGTTTTGGGCTCTCGCTGTGGTTTCGCGCGATTTCCGTTGCGCTTCGATGCTCCCGCTGTGGTTTCGCGCGAATTTCGTTGCATTTCGATGCTCCCGCTGTGGTTTCGCGCGAATTTCGTTGCATTTCGATGCTCCCGCGTGAAGCGATGGGAACACTTGAAAAATGAAGCCTTTAGCTGGCTTTGTGATGCGGATTCAGGGTTTGCTGAGGGTTGCCCTCAGCTCGAATTAAACCCTCTGAGCCTTGAGCCCCAAAACCCTCGGTGTGCGTAAGACCACTGGCGCAAAACACAGGGAGAGTTTGGGGTTGGGCAACCCTGCGGCTGGGTGCCGGGGGTTAGAATTACGGGTTGAGCATCATGAGCATCAGCTGGGTCTTTTGGCCCCCAAGTTCCACACGCGTGCTCTTCTGGCCTTCTTTGGCCTTTTCTGGCCCTCCTCACTGTTTGGGGTCTACGCCGGCATAATTTTAATTTCGTTGCGCAACTGTCGCGTAAGGATTGTCTGTCTGCTATGACACAATCCCTGCCTGAGGTTGTCCGAAAGGTCAATGCCTTCCTACACTGTTCCCATGGAGTCGTGGAACACCTTGTGTATTTCGCACAATTGCTCGTATGCACAGGGACATGTCAAACGCTTGGGGCACACCCAATCTTTCAGTGGCCCTTGGAGATTTCACAGGCGGCGAGCTGTGGCTTCATGATACCGCCTGCGCAACAATGGGCGTGCCACGCTGGGAGACCCTCCCTGAGGATGCACAGGCATTCTTAGGTCATGCAATTGATGTTGCTTCTCATGGTCTGCGCTTCGATGGCCATCGATGGCATAAAGCTTTGCCCTTTCAGGGGGATAGATGGGGTGCGGATTGCAGTCACACTGCCAGATGTCACCGCGCCTGAGTTGCATGCGTGAGGTTCCCCCTCTGGTTGCAAGTTCCCCTCAGTGCCTCCCGGCCCCACCTGCGAAACAGAGGCGCAGCCTGCGGCAGCGGAGCCAGCGACGCTGCCAGCTGCCACTGCAGTAAAGCAGATGGACGTCCTGCCATTCGGGCAAATTCATTGGGGGTCCGATCTCAAGACGGCGTCTTTTCTCCCCATTCCTGGAGCTGCCCAAGAGGGCCAAGACCCCAAGCGCAGGCCTGGCGGGCAGATCAGGCAATTGCGGACTTCCCAGGCCGGATTTTACCCGGCCACTTGTCGAAAGCGATCCAAGTGTTCGGCGTGGATATCCTTTCAGTGGATCTGCGCGTGCTAGATGCACGCGTGGATATTCTAGATGCTGCCTTTTTTGAACAACTCTTGTTCTTGCGCGGATCAGGCAAGGTCGGCTATGCTGCTGCCAGCCCCGCAGGTTCATAGTACTCGTTGCTGAAATTGCACGGGGGCCCCCCTTTTGCACTGCGCATGCCAGAGTTCCTTCCTTCATGATCTATCACCTCCTGAGTCAGCAAAAGTGCAATGCTCTCACGCAATGCTGGCACGCTGCTGTCAGTGTCTTGAGGTTGCTTACACCCACTTGGAGCAACCGCACGGGGTGATGAGCTGGCAGGAAGATTGCACACAGGCATGGATAAAGCCGGCTTCTTGTGCATTGATCCACCTCTCGGCATGTGCATTCACTTTTTCATGTCACCTATCGTACATTCGTGTCGGACTAGTGCGGGGGTGTGAACGTGTGTGTATTTGTCAGTAGTAGTGTTTACCGCCTGCACGTGTACGGCTGCGAGTCTGTCTGCCCGCAGTCCTGGCTCGCAGGCCGGTTGTGCTCTGCAGTGCTTGTCCGTTATGTTCAGAACTTTGCCTCTGCCTCCCCACCAACCATCCTTGTTCTCCTTGCCGCGCTACCGTCTTCGCTGTGACCTGCTTCTTGGTTCGACAGAAATGGCAGTGATGTCATTTCTGTCCGCATCCGGCACCTTTTACTTCATCGAAGGACCGTCCGCTGTCTTCCTTGCCGCACTTCCGTCTTCTCTGCGGCCTGCTTCTCTGCTTGCCAGGAATAGCCAAAGCGTTATTACTGTCGTGCTGAGTCGTGATGGCTCCACTTTCAGCACCGCCTTGTCATGTCTGACTGCTGTTTTCCTTGTCATCCTTTTGCCTGGTCTCCGTGGACTGTCAGAATTTGCTGCCCGGAGCTTCCGACCAGCATTCTTCTGCCTGCCCCTGCGTCCGATGTTCTGGGGTTGTCCTTTGCCGACCGGGATCTTCTTTATGCCAAAGAATCGAAAAAGGGGAGAGCGTGTGTGCACCACTTTTTCATGTCACCTAACGTACATTCGTAACGGACTAGTGCGGGGCTGTGAACTACAGAGTTACTGCTGTCGCTGTCGAAGATGCGCACCTGAAAGCTTCAGGTTTGCAGCACATGGCCGTGCGTAACAGGATCCAGCCGAATGCGTAGTATATGCTGGCCACATATACAGGACCATAGCAAGGCTACTACAGCACAATGGCATGCAAAAGGATCATGGTGTGATGTGATGTAGGTGCAGTATGGCTGGCAATAGAGATTCCGAGCATGCAGGCAGCCCAAGTTGGGAAGGCTACCTTCCTCCCTCCCCCCTCCCCCTGATGTAGGTAGGTAAGTCGTTCTATAAAGAGATCAACCCATCTTCTGAAAAACTGGCTGATGCTCAAGCTTGCAGGCTACTGATTGCAGGACCCCTCAGAAAGTAGGCCAAGGCATCTGTCTATGAGATCAGAATGGCTTACCCGGTGCCCTGCTCCTGGCATTTGCTTTTTATTACAGCCACAGCCTCGCAGCTCTCCACATCGCTGCCGGTGCCTTGCCCCACCGGGGCAATGCGTAGGCTCTCCAAGTATAGCCAAGACGAGGCGGCTCAAGAGACTTCGCCGTTGCCAGCCTTCAAGTGTATACAGGACGGGGGGATCTATGCACTCTTCGATCCTGGTCCAGTCTGGCCAGACCAATTCCAATCCTTGCTTTTACAGGCAGACCGGAACATGTCGAAGATGGGGCATATGTCCATGGTGTTTTCACGCTTTGTTGGACTATGTGTCCCTGCCTCCTGCTTTTCTCCACCACCAGAGTCGCTGGCAAAGAACGCCAGGCACCTACCCTTGTCCCTGACATGGGATGATGGGGAGAGAAGGGTTGAGCAACTGCAGTTTCTTGCAGGGCAGCAGTTTTTGCAAGGCATTTTGGGCTATGAATCAGGAGGCAGGAAAATTCTCGGATCGCGCGTGCTCGCTCGCTTGCAGACTCACGCAGATGTCCTTCTGACAAAGTCCACTAGCCGGGGTGGGCAACTAGCTTGCAGGGCTTCGTTTTGTGGCTGGGTCCCTGGCGTGTTGTTGAACAAGACTTTCTGCTTGTTGCTTTTTTGGAGAAGAGGAGAAACCCAAGACCTAAGCTCACAAGCAGCCCTCAACCCCAAACCCTATAAATGGAAGCCTTGAAATTGGTCCAGGCCAGCTGTTGGGGAGGGCCAGTTTTGGCAAGTCCGCCTTCGGCTGTTCTGCCCACGCTGCCAGGGATGTTCACAGAAGCGGACCTATTGCGTCGTGCTTCCTCCCAGGCTCTCAGGGCTATCATTTTTTTTTAAAGCTGTTGTTATGGACCCCATGTTTTCTAGGGTTTAGGAGTTTAGGGCCCTTGTCCCGTGTATGGTATGTAATAATAATAGCGGTATGTATTAATATAAGGTTTTTGAATGAAGGGCCCATGTACCTTTAGACCAGGAGACGACGCCCCTGGCCTACGTGACTTTCGCCTCCAGCTGGGAATACGTTGAAGCTTCCCTGGTCCTTTTTAGGAGTCTGGTGTTGACAGGGTCCAAGCTACCCTTCATCGTGCTATTAGGTGGCGATGGACACACTTTCTGGCCCAGAGCCCAGGAGTACCTCGTGACTCGAACAAAGGCCTGCTCATGTGCTGGGCAGCTACTGGTTCTCACTGTTGGGGAGGTATTAGAGGCGCAGCCAAATGCCGTGAAGTTCTTGGTGGCAAACAAAGCTCAAGGACTCAAAGGCTTGAGCTTCGACTTGCAGAAACTTTTCGCTTTTGGCCTGGGTGCCTTTGGCTATCAGCGTGTTCTGGTCCTCGATAGCGACATGCTCCTAGACCTGAAAAATTCATGACAAACCCTAAACCCTAAGCAACCCTAAACCCTAAACCCTGGTTGTAGTTGATACCACGTGACTACAACAGAATCCCTACGCAGTCCGTGACCTCACGACCATACAAAGCGACAGGGGCGTCCGTGACCTCACGACCATACAAAGCGACAGGGGCTACAACAGACTCCTATGTAAGGCTATGTGTTTCAGGAATTCACAAGACCTACAGTTGCCAGTGCAGTGTAGGAGGACTTGCAACAGGTCTCTATGCACGTTGTGATACTTGCGCTTTCATAATGCTTTTAAGTTAAGACCAAATTCCGTACGTTTCCAGGCAGATGCTGTGCTCACACAATGTCATCGCACAACACGCCTGTTTTAACATTTTTAAAGTTCATCTTGACGGAAACCCCTCAAATAAACATTGAGCCTACGACAGAGATCCCAACCCTAAACCCCAACCCCAAATCCTGAACCGAAAAACTTGAGCCCCACACAGTAAACCTGAAACCTTCAGCGCTAATTACCCCTCAAGCTTAAAGTTTTCAATCTGAAGCCCTCAGCCCCAAATACCCTAAAGTTCTCGACCTCAAGCCCTCAGCTCTCAATACCCTAAAGCTCTAACCCTAGGCCCTAAGCCCCAAGCCCGAAACCCTCAATTCCCTAAATGCCCTCTGTCCTGCTGCATCTCTGCTTGCTCCATACTATCATTTTACCATACTATGCTATGCTATGCTATGCTATGCTGTGCTATGCTATACTAGACTATGCCACGCAATGCTATACTACGTGCTGTGCCGTGCTGCGCTCTGCTATGCTATGCTATGCTCTCTGCTATGCTATGCTCTCCGCTATGCTCTCTGCTATGCTATGCTCTGCTATTGCTATTGCTATTGCTATAGCTATTGCTATTTCTATTGCTATTACTCTTGCTCTTGCTCTTGCTCTTGCTCTTGTTATTGCTATTGCTATTGCGATTGCTAGTGCTATTGCGAATGCTATTGCTATTGCTAATGCTATTGCTATTGGCATTGCTGTTGCTACTGCTCTTGCTCTTGCTCTTGCTCTTGCTATGCTACACTTTACTATACTACACTATTCCATTGCTAGACTATACTATGCTGTGCTGTGTTGTGTTGTGCTGTTCTGTGGTGCGCTGTGCTGTGCTGAGCTATACTGTATTATACTATTCTATACTCTCCTCTACTCTCCTCTATTCTTCCATGCACTATGCTGTACTATACCATACTACAATATAATATATCTTATTCTGCTATACAAAACTATTCGAGACACTGCGCCACACTACACCACAGCACACCACACCATGCCACGCCACGCTGCGCTTCCCCTGCGCTACACGACACCACACCGCACCCGGCTGCACGACACGATGCTGCACTCTCTACTGACTCTACTGCAGAGGCTCATCCTGAAGAGCGTGGACCACTTGCTTGCCGGCTCTTGGCCTCCTTTTTCGGCGGTCCGGGACCGGTGGTCTTCGCCCACACTCCTCGTGGTGAAGCTGGGCTTTTCCTGATAAAGAGTCGTATTACTGAGATTACTGGGTGTTTAGGGTTCATGGATACGCCTAAGGTTTTATAAGGGTTTCGAGGTATAGGGTGAAGCTGGGCTCTTCTGTTGGGAGGTTAGGGTGTATCGGGTGTAGGGCTTAGGGTTCCTTTCCGTTGCCTTAGAATCATGTTTCATCCTCGATGCCTCGTTTAAGTTACCACAAAAGCCCAAGAGTATCGACCAGCCTACCACAGATCATCACACCAGTCACTGAGTCACCGCTTAAGAAGAGCCCCCAGGAATGTAGGAGTCCTCCTTTGCCATCCCAGCGTGGGACTTCTGCTGGAGATTCTGAATTTCTGGCAGCCAGCGGTCGAAGGAAACTTTCAGCTGCTATTGAATAATTTCATGGGAAAGGACGGCAAACCCTGGGTGTTCCAGCGGGAGTTGATGTTGGACAAGAGGTACAACATGTGGGATTCAGAGCATAAATTCTTGCCTAAAATTCTGAACAAGACATCCTGGCCAGAAGACGCAGACAGACTGGAAAGTGAGAAACGCCAGATTTTCGAAGTGGAGCGTTATGTCTTCTTGGAGCCTTCCTGGAGCACGCAGAGGTGGCTACTTCCGGACCATGCTTTCCATTGGGCTAGTATTTTCGTCTTCCACTTTATGTCTTGCAAACCGTGGGAGAAGGACATTTGCCTCGCGCGTTTTCAGGAGCTGCCGCTTTCTGAGCCGGCAGCACAACATCTGGAAGCATATTTCTATTGGACCGACGTTTGGTACAGCTTATGGAGTTTAGAAGACGATTTCCAAACGTCCGGGCGAGATCTGCTGTCGACGGCTGTTCGGAGAAGTCGGAGAGCTTTGGGCAACCCAAAACTTCCCTAAATCCTAGACCCCGAGCCTTGACGGTAAGGCCTCATTCTGCCCCAACAACTTCTCAACCCGCAAAGGCTACAAGAAAATGTATCATCCCCTCCCATCCCCGATAGAATGATGATGCTAGCGGGGTGTATTTTCTTGTAAACACCCAATACACATGTAAGCAGGTGTTTGCATGACACTATCTCTTAATACCGACTTCTTCGAATGATAATAGGATCCTTTGTCAGACGCGCTGCGGAGCGCTCTCTGGGACCGCTTCAGACCTCCCCTGAGACCCTTTGAATGTCTGGGAACTCCCTCGACACCCCCCTCTGACCACCTGGAACGGAAGAAGTTTTTTGGAAGGCAGTTGACTTGAGCTCATCGGGAAGCTTTCGCTAGCCTACATCCCAACCTTCGCAGCTTCTGCGCAATACAGCAAACCCTAAACCCTAACCCTTGGACCCGCGAGTGGTGCCTTTTTCTTTCCCGCCTTCTTTTGTTTCGAGAGGGTGTTGGGTTTAAAAAGAGAAGGGTTTTTGGGATCCCATTTAAACAAAAGCATCGGGAACATTGGTGGCTGCGCACCCCTTCATCCTAGGAGCCCGGTCAGCCGGTCCAACATGAAACCGCGGCCACCGCGCCCCACTTTGTCAACGCCTGATCCGGGATAGCAGGAGAGAGTGCTGTGTACAGTGGCCTACACACTGGCCCACACCGAGAGGTAGCTTCTCTCAAAGGAGAGGAATTACCCCCAATTTTGTCTGTTTGTTTCTTCGTGTTCTTTCATGTTGGTAGTGAGGGCCTGTCAGCCGTGACGGGCAGACCCAAAAGATTATGCCGCGCAGCTTAATGCTCCGGCGTCTCCAGCGACATTCCTGGTGAGCCTCCACAGAAACGGGACAAATAGTCATTGAGGCGGAATCCACAAAAGCTGCGCCCGGTGAGGCGCTTTCCGTCTTGAAGTTGGTAGGCTCTTTTCGCCGTTTCCATTGCTTTCCTCCTTTGAGTGATGCTCCAGCGCGGTGAGACCTCCGGAGGTCGCTACTTCGGGGGGTATTTCGGGACCTCTGGTGCGTCCTGTAGGGCTCGCCAGTGTCAATGGTTCACATGGTGATTCATGAATTCATGAATTCCCCCCGACTATGCGCTGGGAGGGCGTCAGCGAAGAAAAACAGAGAAAGCCGTACTTGGAATGACTATTCCATGAAATTATTGAGTTTTCAGATTCCATTGACAGCTGATATTCCCATCTGGTGATAGTAAGTCAGCAAGGTCTTGAAGAGCCTGTAGAACAGAGTTTAATTAAATATGTTTAAGTAGAAGAGCCTTGGAGAAGAGTTTGAAAGTTGTTCCGCGGCAAAGTCCAAGCAAGCAAACGAAGCTCGAAAAGGAGGTAATTATTAGCCTTTCACAGAACCCTGACTAGTTGCCGGAAGAGGTTGTGCAGTGTCAACATGTGTCAACCATATTTCGTGAGTAGGCACAAAATGCTGCATTTTGTGTTTGAGCCTGTGAACTGCCGTTTGCAGCGCTGTCATCTGCAGCATTGGGAGCCTAGTGAAAGTGAGAACTGTGAGAGCTTCTAGCCTGATTACAGCCAGAAGTGCTGTAATTTGCATTATGAACAGTCATAAATTCCGTAATTCACAACGCTTCTTTTGAAAACTGTTCACGGGCTTCAAATGCAGCTACAGCGCGGTTGATAGCTCACGGACCCCAAACGCTGTAAACGAGATCGTCTTTGGCCGTTCACAGGTTCCCAACACGATAGCATCTCTGAAGGCTCCGAATACATTTCGTTTTCTTTGACAGCTCTTAATTTGGGAATGCTGGCATTTAGCGTGTTGGGAACCAAGCCAATTTGGTTCGATCCCAGACGATATTTCGATCCTTAGAAACAGAATTGTGCGCACCCTTTGTTTATTCAGGGTGGAAAGAAATGGGGCCGAACAGAACCAGTACTTTGGTCCAGCCATTGGAAATACGCAAGAGATCGACCCGCTTAGTTGGAATCTATGCGTGCACGGGTCACAACACGTGAAGACCGGGTGTTGAACTTTTACAGCTGGGCTTGAACCCAGAAAGGTGCCACCCGAAGTAGGTATCTCAGACTGTGACTTTGTGTAACGAATGCGGAAGGTGTCCGTGCTGGTGCTTGTCCGCTAGATTGTTGGCTTGAACACGTTGCTGCTTGCCAGCCTAGTGTTGGCGAATGGGCATGTTTCGACGCATTCGACCTTTGGCGCTTTTTCAGCATGTGCTAAGGCCACCAATGAAACGCGCACTTTTGCCATGATGTTTAGGGTTAAGGGTTCACATAGCCAGCGCACAATTCCCGACACAAGATTTCAGAAACTTCGTTGACAGCAGCAAGTTTGTTGTTGGTTTTTTCGCATTTGCCAGAGGCCTGCAGCATGAGGTTTGATAACAATTGGAAGCTCTGTTTTTGCTGTGTTGTGGCATTATGAGCCATTCTGCAACCAGTTTACGTTTCTGCGGCTCAAAAATGGTGGCAATTCCTGAGTTGCCACAATTCCTTGTGCTCACATGCTGCACAGGGTCCACATGCAGTCGTTTTCTTCATTTGCTGCCGTTGACTGTCATCCAAGATGTCGCAATCAGACAGCTTGCGAACGATGACACGAGGGATGAGGTATCAAACCAGCGACACGTTAAGACATTTCTTACGTCATTTACCAGTTTGGTCTTGCAAACGGCCGTTCCGCCGGAGGCAGTGCAGCAATGTGTTGGACAACTTGACAAGTTGAGGTGTTGCTGTGTGTGTGTGTTTGTGCTTGAGGCGAGCAGCTGTTGCATGAGAATTGCCGGAACGCTAGGCCAGGGAACTGCAGCAGACCGCGGCAGGTATTCGTGGCGTGAGCTCACCCGTCTGGCAGGTGATCCTTTTCAGAAACGGAATAGTGTGCAAAAGACACCTGTGAAATCGAAAGCTTCTTTCAAGGAGCAAGGGCATGTGCGTTCCAGTGATGGTTGAAATCTAGTTATTGCATGTGTTGCACTGAACCTTGTAGTTAAACTTGATTTGCTGGTCAACCCTCGGTCGTTCCAGTTTGTTGTGTTCGAGTTTGCAGGAGAAGCTGCGAGACTCTCCCGATTTGGATGATGAAGGACTTTGCTTCGTGCTTGGGGCTTGGAGCGAAACACCGCTTCGCGACGACGCCAGGAGATGGAACTCCTCCTGCTACGGGGTCTTTGCTGAAACATAAGAGGCGAAACGGATGCCGCTAATGCATTTCTGTACACAGGTTACATTGTCGCAGGTCTGCGGCCAATGTGGAGCGGAACAAAGCTTTGTCTGCACGCAATGCGCCAAAGAATGTTTGCAACCGCCGGCATCCTGATTGCACCTTGATGGGGCTGAAGATATCACTTTCGCATGGGTTTGGACAGTTCGGTTCGGCGCAGAGAGCCGCGGACAGATGCGAGCGGTGGAATGCACCCGAGGTTGCCCCCAAAGCTCCAGGCAGATTGCGCGTTGCAGTGATTCAGAGATGGACAAGCAACTCACGAGCTTCGGATGTGCAGGTTCCAAACTTGAACTTTGATCGTTTCCTCCGGATCAAGGCTGCAGCATTAGTATGATTGGGGAAGGGCTTGTTGCCAGTTGCATGTCACAGCACGGAGATTGTATCGTACAGGAGCGCGAACATCAGGGTGCTGCTGTGTATGATGTGAGGCCTCCATGACGAGCACGAGAGATTTGCAAGATCCAGCTTGAAAAGAATGCCCCATTGGCATACAGAAGGCATTTTGAATTTTGCAAGGACTGCGAGAAGTGGGGTATTGCGGTCAGTGCGTCTCGGATTGCCAGCGACTTACCCATTGCAGAGAGTCGTATGGCAGAGCCAGTGAAGTAGTAGTTCTGTCATTGCCGGTTGGCAGCATGTCGGTTTTCGTGCAGGCATCTTTTACGAGCATCAGGTGCAGGTCGTTTTATTAGATGCAGAGGCAAGCTTCCCGCACTAAGGAATTCCGACAGCGACGACGTGAACTTCGAGGATTCAGCACAAGCATCTGCACTTGCATGGTTGGCATGTGTGTCAGCGAAGATTGGCATGGGGGTTGCTGGCTCAAGACAAAGTGATCACTGCTTTCATGATGCCAGTGAGCGCGTTCTGACAGAAGAGCATGATAAGAGCATGGTACTAAGACACCGTCATGCGAGCATGGAGTATCCGCCACCAGACATTATGTGGATGCCATATAAAGTCGTGTTTGGTTGCGATGGTCCACCTGTGGGCTGCTAGGATGCTGGGCGCCCTGTGCTGTGGCAGGAATTGTCCGACAGGCGACATTTGCCATTTCGAGTCGGTGTGTCTTAGGCTCAATTGGGCACTGGAGTCCACTCATGCAGGGAATGGCCAGCTTCTGAGTTGCCATAGCATGTTGGAACGACGAGGAAGAGGACGAAGAGGAAAGAGTAGTGTTGAGGAACGTTTGTTGCGATACGCCCGAATGCGCCTTTCTTCCTAGGCGAGCATTCGCTCCTTCGGGCTACTGCTTGCTGCCTGCCACAGGGCCACAGGGTTACACAATGAAGCGCGAAGCCACGCGAAGCACAAAGCCATGTGAGCCAGAAAAGCCAAACATGGAACTTTGCAGGCTAGACGATGGGAGGAGGTCCTCGCTTTGTTTCGACGTATGACGTTTCTTCGCATGCCTGAGCCATGCCTGCACAAAGTGCTCCTGACCCCTGAGCCATCGGGCTGAAGACATAAAGCTTGTGCTGCATGGGGGGAGTGCTGCAGGTTGACGTGACAGTCCTGAATTCAACAGTCAGTGCATGTGAGACGGGTGCCCGGTGGCAACTTGCTGTGCACCTGTTGGCAGAGGGCGTTTCGCCCGCAATCAGGTGGTCGTGAGTCGTGCATCCAGGCTTTGTGCAGACATGATCAGCCCTGCCCCATATATGCCCAGGTGATGTGACAGACGCAATCACTCGGAATGCTGCCCTGGCCTCTCTTAGTGCAGGCTAGGACTTCAGTTCAGCAAGTGCAGAGCGTCCGGGGATTCTCATGCTGTCAAGTGGAAGGCTACCAATGGCAACGCGCCCTGAGTCTTTTCGCCGCCTCTGCCAACTTCCATCGCGCTGGTCCCTCGAGCACCTTGGGTACTGCCTTGGGCACTGCCTTGGGCACTGTGGCCGTGGCAGCAGAGCGCGCGACGCGCCGAAGCCTCGGCTTCGCTAGCACACAGTAGACATGCTGAAGGTGTCAGAGATGCCGGTTTGAAATGTTGGAACCTGTAAAGTCAGAAAGTTTGAGCGTAGTGATGTGAACGTAAATGCCGTTTTCATGCCTTTTGTGGGCCCAAGTCCTTACTCAGTTCTGTGGTGCCATGGCAAAGGCAAGGGCGGCAAGGGGTTTGCAGACCCCCAGGCCGCTGAGCGTCCTAGTCGCAAGCGGCATCGTGGCCTTGGCCTGTCATGGCTCCCTGAGTGCCTTTACGGGCGCAACCGGCGCGACGGGCACACTGCCGCTTCAAGTTCAGCACCCTGCGACAGCGGTGAGTCTGGTGGCCAGGGCGGCAGAAGCTACGAACACGGACGTCGAGGTCGTTGAAGGCACCGACGCCAGCTTTCAGGCCTTGTCCACAACCCCAGTACGCCGCGCCTCGGATGGTGGGGAGGTTGCGCTGCCCAGCCTTTGGTCGGACGGGGAGCGCGTCGTGGTGGCCTTCTTGCGCCACTTTGGCTGAATGGCCTGCTGGGAGCTGGGTATCCAACTGAAGAGGGACTGGCTCCCTGAGGCTGAGAAATCGAACGTTAAGCTCTTTATTGTCGGTATTGGCAGTTCTGAGAGTGCCAAAGAGTTCTCAGAGCAGATCGGGTTGTCGCCTGAGATTGTCTTCGGTGATGAGGAAGCAGCCTCTTACCAAGCTTTAACATTTGTGAACTCGAACTTTAGCGAGGATGGTGGCATGCGTGGAATGCGCATGATGACAGAAAAGACGGGTCAGGCCGTGAAAAGCAGGGCCAACGGACGCCCAGTGAGCTTCTTCGGCCTTTTCGATGTCCCCGGCTTGTTCACGAACGACGATCTCGAGACCGCCAAGGAGATCTACAAGCCTTTGATGCCAGAAGGGGACAACTCCTTCGACAAGACACTCGTGCAGGGCGGTATGCTAGTATTCAATGGGCCGCAGCAGGTCTACAAGCACTGCGATACGAGTGTTGGTGTACACGCGGACCTCACAAAAGTGATGGCAGTGGCAACGGCTTAGGCCGGTGTTTACAGTTTTACATGTCAATTTTCAGCCGCGTGGCTTCAGCATGCTCCAGCCATCAATGTGCACATATCCAGAATGGACATGTCTTTGCCAAGTCAACCTGCCGTGAATGTCTAACGTGCTAGCAATCCAAGAGAGTCTAAGGCGCAGTGCCGAAATGAGCAGGACAGGAGTTCATGGAATTTCAATAGGTTTCAATATTTCCAGTCCCTTACAGATTGCGCCATTGTGCACTGCGCCCAACTGAGATTCGACGCTCTCAAGCGGTACGGCACTGACGGGTGTTGTGACTCTTCCTGACCAGCGTTGGCAGGAGGAGGATTCACCCTGCTCATGTTGTGCAGCTTCAGACACGGTCGATATCAGAACTGGACAGACTCAAGCAAAGGCCTGCAAAAAGGCTCCTCTGACAGCATCACTCACTCTTGGCGGCACCTTGTCTTCGCAGTCTAAGGCTGGACAGTCGCCATCGAGATGTTTCGTGTCTTGGCACACAACTGGTGAACACATGAGAGCGCCACAGAGCGCCACAGAGCGCCACAGAGCGCCTGAAGTGAGGACATGGGTTGTCAATGATGGACTCCCTGCCGCAAGTTGCATCTAGTTCAGCAGTGGCAGCCTGTGGGAGAGCCACCCAGTGGGAGCCACCTGGCTGAACCGGTTCGAAGGGCGCTGTGTATGCTTTGGGTATGAGAAGTCCTGAGGCTCCGAAGGAGCTCCTATAAGGATTGCTCTTCAACTTCTCAGCACTCTGCAGCGTCTGCAGCTACAACCTGCCCAGCCTACGTGCAATGCAGCAATTTCTGCGTGTGAGAGGGGTCACCGCTGCTTGGCGCGATTTTGAAGACAATTTGCAGACTTTCTAGTGTTGAGTACACAAAATCTCTTGTCGTATTGTCGGTTCGGGAGTGGTGGAAGACCTCAGCTGTTATCCTTCGCTCTTTTTAAGGCTGGGCTATCAGCCTGGCTTTGCTGAGGCAGATCCTGGTGCCTTGCCAGAAGTGCCATGCCCTGCGCATGTTCCGCACATCGACGGCTGAGGACACTTCTGATGCGGACCCCGTCAGCTGGAACTCGACCTTGAGCGCACTAGAGAAAGGCGGAGCATGTGCTGATTGTTCTGGCATGCAAGTGCAGATGCATCGTGGAACATGGCTTCCAGCCACTGTCCCGTCACAGGGTCCCAGTGGCAACGCTGTTTGTTTCTGTCATTGCATCGTGGAACACGGCTTCCAGCCACTCTGTGTCCCGTCACAGGTTCTCAGTGGCAACGCTGTTTGATTCTGTTCGCTGAGATGGTCGAGGCGACGTCCACAATTGGCTGTGGGGCACTTGCACCTGGTTCAGGGCTTCCAAAAATCCACGCCGTCTTGTTTGGTGCCTCATGTACGATTGACCATGACGAGAGTATTGCTGAGAGCTGGCACGCGAGCAGAGTTCGTTGGCACAAGCGTGCTCAGAAAGCTCGAGAACGGTAGCAGCTATCTCTTCGGGAACATACTGCATGTCACAGGCTGATGCCATCGCCTGCAATGCAACAATCACTGGCTGCATGCGAGGTGCATTTTGTTTTTCTTCACAGTTCGCGCATGTTTATCTTTCTTCACCTTGCGTTTCGAATATAGCAGTCTGTGAGTATTTGCCAAAGCCTCGCAAATGTAGAAGCGCTGCGGTGGCAGCTGCTTGGACGAACGTCTGCTCATCCCAGGCACGCCGCAAACCCACGCAAACTCGCAGCTTACCTTGAGGCGAAGCGTGGGAGCTGGCGCTGGCAGTGCTCCAGGCCGGAGCCTTCCGCTGAGCCGTTGACGTGTTCGGGCCGAGGGCAGCGGGTGAGATCCGCAGCACTCCGGGGCACGGCCTAAACCCCCAACTTCAGCACCCTACCGGACTGCACATCAATGCACCCTACCCATGCCCACCCATGCTCCGACACCCAGATTCCAGGTGGCTGAGCGGCAACACGTCCCACTTTCCACTGCCACAGCGCTGCAGTTGTTTCACAAATTTTCGTATTTTTCGCAGTTCCAGCACGACTTGAAAGAAGAGTCTTTGCGCTTCTAATCCAGTTGCAAGTTGCAAGGTGTCTTTCAATGCTTCGATTGCAGCGGTCGGTCGCGGAACTCGGTGGGAGGAGCTGGATTTCTCTGGATTTCTCTGGCAGCACGGACTTGATGTGTTGAAAGCGCAGGAGTGTCTGCAGCTGGCGGCCGCCATGAGAGGTGCACATGTGAAGTATCTCAGGTATCTCGGGTAGCAGTATTTGTCCTCAAAAAGGCGGCTCCCATCGCCCGGACTTTATCACCTTCAACGCTTTGGCTTTCGGGCTCCGGAGGAGCCCCCCAGAGCCCCCCCAGAGACCAGAGCCTCCCCCCGTGTTCTCCCTCGGTTTTGGGGGAGGAAGTGGCAACATGGCCTCGCTTTGCTCTCACCGGACAGCGTGCCAGCATTGACGGGATTGCCGCAAAGTTGCACGTCAGTTGCGACCTCCAAGCGGATGTTTGACTGAACAACGAGTGTTTTTACGGCTCACACGGAGCTCAGGCGGCTGATTGCCGAATCTTGTGGCAGGCGGGTCTCGAAGCTCAGACATGGTTCGCCAGCCTTGTAGTGAAGAAAGCCTTGCTTTTGGTGGTTGAGATGCTGTGTGTTGAAGATGCCTGAGCCTGAACACACCCTCGGTTCAGGGCGGGCTCCCCAATGTGGTCGCTGATGTGCTTGGCCCCCCTGTCGCATGGCTGCACATGTAGGGATTTGTAGAGTTCAGGTCCAGGTGTTTCAGTTTCATGGGGATTTTGAGATGTCCCATTGCCTTGAGGGTCCTGACCAAGATGCTCGATCCAGGTTGCGGAAAGAGGCCGCGAGAATGCTCCAAAGTTCTTCGGAGGGGCAGTTCCATCGCTCGCTGGAGGCATGTACATTTGTGCAGGGTTGGAAAGTGTCGCAGAGGTGATGCCCGGGTGCCCCATTTTGTCGTTTCTCGCAGATGAAACCGCTTGTGGCACGGGGGAGGGCCTTGTAGGGTTCACCGATTGTTGGACCATTGCAGCAACAATCTTTCCAGAAAGCCGAAGGGTAAGCGTTTGAAGTATCGCCATTCCAGGAGACACATCCGATTGTACCAGCCCTGGATGTCCTCTCCGGGCTCGATGGCGGCATGGTTCTTTCTGAGTGGCACTGCCTCTCGCGGAGGGAGCTCAGGAGAGGGGGGGGGGGATTGAGGCCGAAAACTTCGAGTAAGCTCGGTGCTCGGCTGTGGCAGGCCCCTCTTCGCCGCTGGGCAGGCGCTACGACGTGCCAGTGTGCGCAGCAGGAGGCTCTGGCATGTTCAGCCCATTACCCCCCATCCAGCGCAGTGTTCGAAACTTCGCAGGATCGCTCATCGAGACCCTCATCTGGACGGGAACCGAAAAGTACGCAGATTTTTCATGAGTGTTCCCGGGTGCCTGATTCAGCCTTCTTCGTGCTGTTGCACGGACGTTTCAGAGGAGAAGTCCTTCAGTCTGGGCTCTCGGCTTGGAAGAGAAGCGCTTTGTGGTCTGGCATTGGCAGGGGAGAGCCAAAAAAGAGCTGCCGGAGTGGTCTTCTTTTGCTGGGGTGCTCTGCCTTTGACAATCCCCTAGCATTCCCTTTTCCTAGAGTCCTGTGCAGGATTTCTCTTTCTTCGAGAACAGCTTCCCGGATGCTGCGGAGACAGATGCCGCTCTGTTCAAACTGACCTGCACAAGTAGAACGGTTGGGACCATGACGACAATGACGATGCCCGATTTTTTTGTCATGGGGAACACAGGTTTTCTTTGGCTGAGTTCGAGTTGCCTGATGCACATTGGAGGAGCCGCTGTCCACCCGCATGGCCAGTCCCGTCGCAGGCATGTTTGGATGGGTCTTAGCATTGTGTACAGGCCGTGGGCATTGCACGAGCAGGAAGCCGACCCGGGACCAGTGGGGCCAGTCGCCCGCAGTCACGGCAGATCGCCCGAAATCGTGAGGTACCAGACTTCGTGGCCACTTGTCTTGTGAAGCCTTGATGGGCGTCCCTGGCAGGCACGCTTGAAGCTTATGGAAGCCAAAGAGGACATGGAACTGCAGGCCAGAATTCGAGAAAGGTTCAGTAGGGAGGATGAGTTTGCGAATAGCTCTGATGCTTCGTGGGGGGGTCCATTGGGCAGAATCAAGACTGACGATAAGGGACTTCAGACATGTTGATCGTGGCAGGCCCAGTCCTGTCCATCTCGCACACGCTGATTCAACACCCTGTTAACTTGTTAACCATTCGCTTTCAGGCATTCATTCAAGCTTGCTGAGGAACTTGTACGCTTTTGGGGCTGCGGCGGTGGTCGTATTCATGGCCGTTTTCGTAGTCCTGTCGCAGTGGTAGTGGTCTCGGGTCGTGGGACAACACACAACACCCAAGTCATCTTAGGCCTAATGCGGTTGATGCGAGAGCCAAGCTCGGAGATTTTGACGAAGAGCCGTGAACCAAGCCAGGAGCACCATGACGAGGCCTTTGTTTCCGTGGCCCAGCGCGAGCAGCTCAAGCAGGACCGAAGGGGCTGCTAGGTGCGGGCAGCGCCTGAACGATTGTCCTGGGCGTTCCAGGAGTACTGGCAGAAATACAACGAGGCCCTTCGTGCGCGTGCGTGCGTCCGTGCGTGCATGCGTGAGAGAGCGAGAGAGAGAGAGAGAGAGAGAGAGAGAGAGAGTGTGTGTGTTGTGTTTCCTGGCGCTTATCCAGCTTTAGCAAAGCTGCTTCCGAACCTCGGCTTGCTCAGGCGGGCAGCGCCAAGAAGACCTTAAGCGAGTTTGAGGAGTCCCGCAGCTTAGTCATTTTGGGCTGGGTCGAGCGTTCCGCGTTCCGTGCTTTTCGCGCTGTTCGCTTTGATGTTCTTTTGTATCTGCCTGCTTTTGCTGGTCCAGGTGGCAGAGGGTGCTGCATGGCGGGAAAGCAGAGGCCACCTGTTCTGCCCTTTGCAACTCTTAGTTCGTCGTGGGACCTTTGTTTGGCAAGGTCTCGACAACTGCTCCATCTGAAATAGAGGCCGGCTCTGTCAAACCAAGACGGAAACAGACAGTTGAGAGAAGTAAAAGCCAAGTGTGTGCCGGCAGGATGTGGCAACAAGTCGGGTCAGTGTGGAGGACACGGACTGGCGCATCTCCCACCTTGGCTTCACCAGGTGGACCCATCCGGCTGCAGCGCGGCCGCAAATGGAGCACTGACAGTAGATGTTTCCAGGCGGTCCGACCATGAGGAGTATGTGTCGGACTACTATCGCCGATGCCGCGAGAGGTGTTCTGTGCCAGTTTCTTTGTTAATCTGCCACAGCAAGCGCTATCTTGAGACCAGCCATGTGCAGATGCAGGCACTACATCCCTCTGGGTCCACGTGGAAGCACTCCAAGAAAGGCCAAGGCGGAGTTTTCCACCTCCTGGCAGTGATATGAGCATCTTGCAGCAGGATGCATCAACTGTTTACGCTCCAAGGGGGACGCTAGTGAAGATGTGTCTAGCTGTGGTCAGTGACTCGCAGAATTCTCCTTCTCATCGACACCGCCCTTTCATGACAAGCACCTCCGATCCTTGCTTGAGCAACGGCAGTAATCATCGCGTTTCCTCTAAGCTGTAAGTACGGAGAGAGAGAGAGAGAGAGAGAGAGAGAGAGAGAAAGAGCCCCTGGGGCGGGCCTCCTCCTTCGGGGGGGGGCTAAGCGTGCAGAGAGAGAGAGAGAGAGAGCGAGAGACAGAGAGAGAGCGAGAGAGAGAGAGAAAGAGAGCACACGTGGAAGGGCCATGCTCACCCTGTCGTGGACCCAGTGGCAGTCGCGACCCAAGTTTTGCCCATCTGGAGGGCACTTGAAACGAGTTGGCACTGGTGACTGCTGTGAATGCTTAAATTGGTGCACATCCGATGATGTTAAAGCTCCTGGCATCCTTAACCAAAATCTATGAGGGTTGAAGCAGATTTCTCTTGAAGCTTACTCTGGCTGTTGTCATGAGCTCTGGGGCAGGTTGAACCCGGCGTGCTGGATTTTGGAGGTGCGCTTCGTCACCCGTAGCGGGTGAGTCGAGGGTGACAGACAGTGACAGATGACAGACATCCGTTGCAAAGTGTAAGCAAGAGTATATAGCGAGTCAAAGCAGGCTGGAGTCTTGGCTCTGACCGGTTGGACATGCTCTGCCAGGCGGCGTTTGCCCTTGCATTCTCTTTTGTTCTCTGTACTCCGCACCCGTGGGTGAAATCAAACTCCAAAAGAGGCTGCGACTCCCATTGTGCGTCGCATGTACCACTCATGGATGGTGTTGTCAAAGGTGTCCAGTTTGGCCATATTTGGGCCATCTTGGGCCATATTGTGAGGCTCCAGGTGCTCTGGACCAGTGCACGCGGTGCAACCTGTCGGAGAACCGCATCGAGGACCAAGCACTGGTCCAAGGTCTGCAAGTTGCGTTTTGGGGTTTAGGGTTTAGGGTTTGGGGTTTAGGGTCTAGGGTTTAGGGTTTGGGGTTTCAAGAAAGCAGGACAGATCCGTGCCCCTCATCTGCGAGAAGCTGCTTCCGAGAGCACAGGCAGGCCGTTTTCTTGTCAGAGCTCGCTGTTCCAGAAGCTGCCGACAATGAAACGACCAGGGATGGCATGTAGACTGGGTCTGACTTTTTTGAAGCAGTGGCATTTGGGCTTAGAACTTTCAGGAGCCATGTGTTACAGTAGTTCGGGAACAACAAAATGCGCGACAATCCGTGCTTCGACGAGGGCATGGTCACAAGGGGTGAGTATGGTGAGTGGTAAGGCTGGGACAGGAGAATGCTGAAGACTTAAGTGTGGGATGTCATTGATATACTCGTTGAGACGGCATTGTTTCTACCGTGCACGTGAGCTGTTCAGAAGTTGCTGGGCAGCGTAGGCCTTTTTTTGAAGGATGCCTGCCTAAGGTGCTTCTTCATGTCTTGGATGCAAGTGGTTCCCGCGATGAGCTTGCTGAAAGGCATTGAATCTCTCCCACAATCAGATCGGCGTGTCTGGCATGCGCCACTTCGTCCCGCCCTCGGAAAAGCATCGCTATGGGGATTTACGAAAATAATGGACCCTTCATATAGACCCCCAAACAGTAGGATTCCTTTCCGGCAGGAGACCGCGCTGCGGAAGAGTGGGCTCAACACGCCGCTTATGGAGCTGAATTTGCAGGCGCGTGCCATGCTTCGAGCAAGGATGCGGCCTAAAGCCCTAACCCAAACAGCACCAGATTCAAGAATCCAGTTGTAAAACTCTCAGGGTTTTGCCTGGGCTTGACTGCCTTGCTCCAGGGCAACCGACTTGGTACTCCCTTTGGTCCAACTGTCGCAGCAGCCGATGCGTACGAGCGCGACCTTTGCAGCTTCGTTGATGCCCCTTTCGATGCAAATACGAGCTTGGGAGCTTCAGGGACGATCCGGGAACTTATTTTCCTTGGGCAAGCCCTAGAAAGACTACCTCATTTCTCAATGGGTCCGCAAGCCGTAGACCCCAAAACGAAGATCTGGAGCCCCTAGAAACACCAAACCTTCTAGAAACAAACCCGCAAGCGCCATCCATAAAGCCATATGCCATTCCACAAGCCCAGGCGCTGAGCCGGGCCACTGAGCTCCGGGCCCTAAGCCTGGCGCAGAACGGGCCGCGGCCCCAGATGTCGGAAATCAGTTCTTTTCTCCTACGAGGCCCCCTGTTAACGCCTGCTAGACTGTGCCGAACCCTGCTCTGCATTGCTAGCGACCCTCCTGGCTTCGGGGTTCAAGGGGGCTGGTTTGGTACTTTATTGGGCTCAAGTTTCAGTGTGTTCTGTGTAACGTTGGCTGGGTCTACAGAGTTGCCACGGTTTGCGCGGGGAACGTTGCTGTCAGGTTGGGCAGAGTGAACCACGAGCTGGGTCAGGCCATAAATGTTTCCGTTGTGGACAATTCCAAGCAAGTACACCAGGCCGATGCGGATTTCAGCTCAGTTAGCATCGATCTTTCATGTAGGGGCCAAGGCCAAGCAGAGATTCAAGATGAGGCTGGTCAGACATTCTTGTCAGAGCCACCGCAGCCTCAGCAGGCTCTTGGACAGCTGGTTTCCGGGCTGAAGAACCTGAGAGCTGCCACCCGAGTCGGGTCGCGGTCGAGTTTTTTGGACCTGGGTGCCAGATGTACCATATGGGGGTTTCCGAAAATAGGGGTACACTAAGGTTAATAGTATGTGGGGTATATAAGGGGTACCCCTAAGTTCGTAAACCCCCATATTAACCCATACCCAAAAGCCCAATGTGTCATGCCACTTTCCCAGCCTACGTAGTGGATGCCGAGTTGGAACGGTTGGAACTCTGCGGAAATCATTTTGTACGTTGCGACCCAGGTCCTAGACTTGCACTGGAACGGCTTCCATGGCCTCGGGGCGCAGCTGGCCCAGTCTCCCCCCAGGCTGTTGGACATCCTCACTATCTGCCCCGTAAACCCTGCACCCTGCCCACCCCTAAACCCTAAACGCCCGAACCCCCAAAACCCTAAGCCCACTTCTCTGCTCAGGTACAAGCTCTTAGAAGGCATCTGCGACAACCGCGTTGTTGGTGGCAAGCCCCGGGCTCGGTGTTAGGCGCCCACCTGTGCCGTGGTCACAAAGAGCCCTCTAAAGCCACCTTAGTCCTCACTAGGAAAGGTCCTGGAATCCCTGGGATTTTGTAGGATTGTTTTGTTTCTTGCAGCCCTGGACACTGAGGCTCTCTCGCGTGGATTTGAGCTGGAACCGCCTCGGCATCAACAGGGCCAAGAAGTTATACAATCCCTCCAAGGCCACATGACCCCCCTAGGAATGTGTCCTCTGTGGGGAGTTGCCTTGTGCCCAGATGCTGGCAGACGTGCTAGCAAACAACGACCAGCTTTTTCACCTCGACATTTCGTACAACTCGATAGGTGTCGAGGACAGGTTCTGAGAACCGTACAGCCCTTTGCACATCTGAGTGTGGGATGCTCAGTCCGAGGACTGTGCGATGATTGCATCTGGTCTTCGATACAACAGCACCCTCTTTGGGTTCCATGTGGCCGGCAATGAGGTGGGGGGAACAGGTCTGTTCCTGTTTTGAGGAATGTCAGTGCCACGTCGCATCAGCTCCAAGGCAGGACAGCATGCCTGCAAGTGCAGCAGGGCAGTCATGCCAAAAGCCCTGTAAACATGCTCCTTTAATGCTTGGAAGTAGTATACTTAGCCGGGTCTTGTTGCCTGCGCTTTTCATCTCAGTTTCATGCGCACAAAGGGCCGGTTCTCAACACATATGTTTTTTCCCGAAAGCATCGCGAAGGGTTCTTCCGTGCGGAGCCCTCTGACCCAACAACATAGAGTGAAGTACATAGAGTCAAGTGCGTAGAGTTAAGTGCATAGAGTGAAGTGCATAGAGTGAAGCGCGTAGAGTGAAGTGCATAGAGGGAAGTGCATAGTGTGAAGTGCATAGAGTCAAGTGCATAGTGTGAAGTGCATAGAGTGAAGTGCATAGAGTGAAGTGCATAGAGTCAAGTGCATAGAGTGAAGTGCATAGAGTCAAGTGCATAGAGTGAAGTGCGTAGAGTCAAGTGCATAGAGTGAAGTGCATAGAGTGAAGTGCATAGAGTGAAGTGCATAGAGTGAAGTGCATAGAGTGAATTGCATAGAGTGAATTGCATAGAGTGAAGTGCATAGAGTGAATTGCATAGAGTGAAGTTGAAGTGAATAGAAAGTGCGAGATTTACGTAGAATTTAGTAGACCTTCGTACCCAGTCCTAGATTTCTAAATAAAAATTACTCTTTCTAATTAAAATTACTCTTTCTAAGGCGGCGGGCTGGGTTGACATCGCCAATCGGGATTGCAACCCTCTGCGGGTTTCGGCGTGGTCGCGGTGCTAAAACCGTCGTTTTTTACGTTTCTTGATTTGCGCGGACAACCCTCTGCGGGTTTCGGCGTGGTCGCGGTGCTAAAACCGTCGTTTTTTTACGTTTCTTTCTGTGCGCGGACAACCCTCTGCGGGTTTCATCGTGGTCGCGGTGCTAAAACCGTCGTTTTTTTACGTTTCTTGATTTGCGCGGACAACCCTCTGCGGCTGATCGCCGGGTCGCGGTGCTAAAACCGTCGTGTTTGGTACTTTTTTTCGCGCGCGCGGACACCCTCTGCGGGTTTCGGCGTTGGCGCGGTGCCAAAACCGTCGTGTTTTTGCGTTTCCTGACATACAAACGTAACCCCTCTGCGGGTTTCGGCGTTGGCGCGGTGCCAAAACCGTCGTGTTTTTGCGTTTCTTGACATGCAAACGTAACCCCTCTGCGGGTTTTCGCGTGGTCGCGGTGCTAAAACCGTAGTGTTGTTGCATGTTTTTTTCGACTTGTGTAGTACAGACGTAGTACGCCGGGGACTTCCGTGGCTGGAAAATCGAGTTTTGTCGTACAAATGTAGTACGCCACGGACGCCCCCGGAGCTTCCGTGGCTGGAAAGTCGATTTTTGTAGTCCAGACGTAGTACGCCGCGGACACCCGGAGCTTCCGTGGCTGGAAAGTCGACTTTTGTAGTACAGACGTAGTACGCCCGGGACACCCGGAGCTTCCGTGGCTGGAAAGTCGAGTTTTGTAGTACACACGGACGCCCCCGGAGCTTCCGTGGCTGGAAAGTCGACTTGTGTAGTACACACATAGTACGCCGCGGACACGCGGAGCTTCCGTGGCTGGAAAGTCGACTTTTTGTAGTAAAGACGTAGTACGCCGCGGACGCCCTGGGCGCATGAAAACACCGCAAATAGCATGGTAACGGATGTCTGGGCGCTTGAAAACACCGCAAATAGCATGGTAACGGACATCTGGGTGCATGAAAACACCGCAAATAGCATGGTAACGGACATTTGGGCGCTTGAAAACACCGCAAATAACATGGTAACGGACTTCCGCGCGCGTGAAGACACGGGGATGTTTTTGTCCTTTCTCGTTGAAAGCCTCGCAAATATCGTGGGACTCGAATTCCGGGAAAACCTCGCAAATATCGTGGGACTCGAATTCCGGGATGTCGAAACCCTCGCAAGTATCGTGGGACTCGAATTCCGGGATGTCGACACCATCGCAAATATCGTGGGGCTCGAATTCCTCGAAAACCTCGCAAATATCGTGGGACTCGAATTCCGGGATGTCGAAACCCTCGCAAATATCGTGGGACTCGAATTCCGGGGCATCGAAAACCTCGCAAATATCGTGGGACCTGAATTCCGGTGCGTCCAAAACCTCACAAGAGAACCTCGCAAATATCGTGGGACTCGAATTCCGGGATGTCGAAACCATCGCAAATATCGTGGGACTCGAATTCCTCGAAAACCTCGCAAATAGCGTGAGACTCGAATTCCGGGATGTCGAAACCCAACCTCGCAAGAAAACCTCGCAAATATCGTGGGACTCAAATTCCGGGGCGTCGAAAACCTGGGAAATTTCGTGGGACTGGAATGTGAATGCCATGCAGCGGACCGGGAAAAAAGTGATCTCGTTTTGGAGGGAAGACGCGTGCCGCGACCAGCCACTGGAGCTCGGCGTTGTCTTCAATGCCGATGAAAAGTGTACAGAGTTGACCACAAGTGCATGGCATTCAACTCCACACACTTGAATGCCATGCAGTTCCATACACGTCCACTGGACAAGTGCAGTGTACAAGTTGACTATGCAACCATGTAAGTGCATACATTTGTCCAAGTGCATGCAGTTCGAGTGCAAAGAATCAACTGCATGGAGTAACGCACGGCAAATCGATGCTTTCGGGCCATCACATTTGTAGCTCTTGTCATACTGGGTTCGATGAACAAACTAAAGGGCGCACATATGGTTCTCTCATTTTCATGGTTTTGGATTGAGTATGTCTTTAAGCAACAATGGACAGCGACATGTGTGTTCAGTCCCGAAGGCCTTTGTCGATGAACTTGGCTTCCTGGTGCCACTCTCAGTCCGAGCCTGAGAGATTGGCCTTGACTTCAGAAGTGTGTCTGGCCCATGGCTGCTGTAGCTCGGGGGCCAGGATCCATACCGCATACGGCTGAATGGGATCAACCTGAAGGACCTCCAGGCGACGGAGTCGGTCTGAGCCGTAAGCGAAAAATGCATAGGGCCTGCCCCGAATCTGAGAACACACACCCAGGGCTCAAAAACCGAACTCCAGTGCCCAGCACCCTGCGCCCTCTCTGCCGGCTTAACTCCGCAAGCTAGAAAGAACCAACTTTTCTCTCGGATCTCCTAAATTGGAAGCACTCTGCCTCGTAAACCCAGCTTTGGTAGATCCTGAACCGCAAGCCTTGCTTGCAGTCTAGCACCCTGAAGAGAAGCGTAAGCCATACACCGTGCAACCGGCAAGCCCAAATCCCTAGATCTATATTAAGCCCCAAACGAAAGAAACAGCTTTTGCAGCCCTGACGGGAAATTGTTTCGGGACAGCCGGAAGTGCCACCGCGATGTAACTCTTTAAGAGGGCGCTACCAAAGCGGTTTTGCTCTAGGGGATGAAGCATTGTTTGCTCATGTTCGATTTTGTTGCCGCCCATGTTGGCTTGTGCCCAGGAGCACCTTCCAGCAGTGGCAGCGCAGGAGGAGATCGAGGGTACATGGACTGCCGAAGAGGCAGATTGGGGTGCTCAGATATCTAGGCATGGTGTTGCATGGTGTTGTAGTCGAATGTGTTTGAGGGCTTTCTTGACCTCAGGTTGCCATGCAGCTCTTTGGGCGCGAGGTGCAGCATCCCAGCTTTCCGGTGAATGAAACTGGAGGCGGGATGACGAAGTGTTCTTGTATGCATATTTTCTACTGTTCTGGCCACTGTTGCTGCTTTTGTTCTCGGCCCTTTTGTCAGAGGCACGCGCATCTGCTGGGATGGTGCGGAGACCTGGACAAGTCCCGGAAGCCGTGGGGGACGTGGGCCTGAAGAAAACCACGTGCTCCACTTGGGCTCAGGTCGCCGAGGCATCCCACCTCCACCTCCACCTGGTAAGCCCCGAGACCGGCCACGCAGGCGCTTCTTCACAGCACTCGCCCATGTCCCTTTAGGTACTTTTCTTATTTTGGGGGGGTGGCGGGGCGGGAGAGGGGTAGGTCTTGATCTTAGGTAATTTGGCACCTTACGCTGCCTTACACCTACAGAGACTCTGAATTTTGGGAGAACCTTGCAAGAGCCAGCACAAGATCATCTTGGCCAGGCCACGAAAGTACCCCCTCGAGAAGCACAGAGCAGGGTGCAACCTCCTTGTTTGTCATCTTGTACTTCGGTTGACTCCGAGCCAAGTAAGCATGGCTCTGCGGTGACCCTCACCGACACGTTTGCAATGGAATGGGTTTAGACACTCCGTGCTGCTTTCCAAGACATCCTGTGCCTTAGGGTCTCTCAGCTCGGGTTGAGGGTCTCTCAATGGCGAGGGCTTCGCTGGATCCCCTGCGGGAGTGTTTCAAACCCGCACTATCCCCACGGAGAGATTCAAGAGCGGAATCATCCAAATCGACTCCTGAATCGGACAGCACGCTGGGCCCGAAGCGTATGTTATGACTGGCCAGCGCCAGGGTGCCGTCGCACCATTATTGGCAGCTTACCTTTAAGCAGACATGTTGCTTCTCGCCGCACCAGCCACGAAACAAAGCAACGCGGTGCATCAGGAGTTGAAGAACAGGAATACAGCAACGTATAGCAACGTGCAACTCCCAGACTGACCCGAAGTCAACATAGGCCCGGAGAAGCAGCATCATCACCGCGGATGGATGCTGTAAGCTCTGTGCTCCCTGTGCTCTTGAGCGCGTTGTCGGGTTCTCGATGCTGCCAGATGTAAAAGCCTTTTGCGCTTAAGGCCCATGGTGCCAGCTCTGGGAAAAGCATGAAGAGAGCATGAAGATGGTCCTTACGATGTCTTGTGCCAGGCAAGCATCGGTCAGCAACAGCTCCTCGACTCCGTGGGAGGAATGGGAGGCCAGAGACTCCAGAGACTCCAGAGACTCCAGAGACTCCAGAGACTCCGAAAACTCCAGAGATTCAGATTCGTGGTTAGGACGGCTAGGGGTGCTCCTCCTCCTTCGTCTCCTTCACCTGCGAAGTCAGGACAACCACTTTAGCATGACCCTGGCGCAGTCGTTCGAGACGTGCCTTGCCTACACCATCCTGCGCCTTTTTCGTGTTTGGGCATATTGGAGCCCTAAACCCCAAACCTTAAACCCTAAACCCTAAACCTATATAAACCCTAAACCCTAAGCCCTAAACCCTAAGCCCTAAACCCTAAAGACCCTAAAGCGTGAGCTGGGAGGAGCAACCTCGAGACCATCTCCTTCCGCGCTGAACGATGCTGGATCTGTGACAGGCAGACTTGCGGAAAAGTTGGGTTGTTGGGGTGTTTCGTGTGGTACTCAAACCCCTTCGGCTCTCCATGGTCGCTGGATTCTTGCTCCTCTAAGATTCCTTTGACTTGTAGGTTCCAGCCAGTCAAGCTGGTCTGGACTCCGGCGGTCTCCGGCAGGCTCGAAGACGACGAGGACGGTTTCAGCTCTAGTGACTCTGTCGCCCCTGTACTTTGCCTCAAGACTTGCGATTCAAGGAGAACTTTAGGCGGAATTGTTTTTCAGGGATCGGGCTGAAAGCTCGTCGCAGCACTTTCTTGCATGGCATGCGCTTGAAAGTGGCCTGCTTCATTGTTACTCATTGCAGGTTCACTCAGTGCATGCCTACGTCAGCCAGATTCCCAGTCGAACGGCAGTAGCCCACCAGAATTGCCTTGACAGGTCGGGTGTGCATGAATAATGCCATGGCGTTGGCAGGTACGGATGACTTCCTACGCCCGACCGTGCTGCGACGTTCAGCCAGACACCAGGCGTGGCCATAGAACCGAAAGCAGCCATGCAGGAATTGAAGCACCAATTGAAGCACCCGAGATTGAGACAGTGCGACACCTGGCAGCTTGTAGCTGTGCGTCTCAGGCAGTTCGCTTCCAGGCCTATCGCATGGTGCCCAAGATGAAGGAGGCTCCCTGGAGTTGAGAGGGTTTCTTGGATGGCCAGTATTCTGTTTGTCTTTCCTTTGCTTCATGTCGTTGGGACTCTTGCGAGACCTTGTTGGTCGTCTTCCGGGTCAATGGCATGCTCGAGGTGGCCAACGAAGCTTGGTTCTGTTGCCTCCAGAACATCGGGGCTTGGAAGGGAGGTCTCGGAAGGGAGGGAAGGCATCTCTCCTTGAGCTTAGGACATGCCAGTCCGCTTCCTGCCCTGCCCGGTCGGGGCCTGAAGCAGAAGCTATGCTGAGCCCGGATCCTGTCACTGAATCTGATTCTCCAAAGTGCGCGGTGGATCCTCTTCGTGCTTTGAGGGATATTTTCTTCTTCGACGGGCCTTTTTTTGTTTGACTCGGCTTCTCAGGTGAAAGTCTCACAAGTAAGCGAGGAAGAGCTCGCCAGCTTCGCACCCGAAGGTGCCTGAAGCACACTAGACACAGATGCAATCGATGGTCTACCATACCTGATATGTCTGAAGCATCTTGAATTTGTGACCAAACCTCCCGGTGACATCCGGTGTCCGTCCCCAGGGGCTGACGTGGCCAGTGCCGAGCCCACGGTCCCGGACCCCGTCACAACGGCGCTTCCCTAGAACTTTGAGATTGGATTCCTTTGCCTCCTCGAGGCGCGGACAAGCTTTGTTTGTTTTTGTGTACTCGGAGGACAAGATGAACAACGAGACTCTGTGGGCCAACGAGCTGATGTACAAGGCTGCCTACGATCCTGTCTGTCCACACACATTGGCCACTCACTCTAAGCCGCCAAAGTGCTTGCTGCACACAGGACCTGCGAGGATCTCCTTTGGTGGTGACGGAGGCACAGTGATGTTCGATTTGGCAGGGTTCACAGGGGACTTGACAAGAGATCGGAGCAAGGCCACAGCACCACCATAGGCCCGGCGGGCCAGAGGCAGCTAGCAAGAGAATTACTAGCTACACTATTACACAGCATCGGAGTTCAGAGGCCCCCCGCTAGCCTTGCCTTCCGCCAAAACTGCACATAGCTGTCACCATCATCACCATCATCAAGGACACCGTGGTGGAGGGCAAGCTCGAAGTCTACCCTCGCACTGTGGACCGGGGAGAGGCAGGAGAGCGGAAGCCGGTGCAGAAGCCTCTCCAAATTCTACAAGAAACTTGAAAAAAAGACCCAAGCCGCTCCGTGTCGCCAGGCCCTGGAGCCACCCAAGTGGGACAAGGCCCAGTCCATCTTCGCATCCTGGCGAGAGGCAGACTTTGCCTGGGCCTCGCATGGGTTTTTTCTGAGCTTTTTCTGCTTCAACTGAGCCAGGAAGCCGATTTTCTGGACTGAGCAGGTTTCAGGAAAGGAACGCTAGTCGGGTCATGATGTGATGGGGATTCCTTTTTAGCGTGCGAAGACTTGACCTGAAAATCTGAGCCCTTCCTGGACAAGATGCTGACTGCTGACATGACACCTGGCAACCAAGCTTGGCAGACTTGGACAGTCAAGTTCAGGACAGTCTGAAGCTGATCCGCATCTGCAATCCCAAGGAAGTACTGTCGGATCCAGAAGTTTGCGCCTGACCAGAACAGCGCGCTAGTGAAGCAGCGAAAAGCTCAGCAGATTCTGACTGCAGCACTGGACATACTCGACTTGTTACGGTCGCCATTCCCAGGGCCATCATGCCCTACTACGCCAAGCTGGTCGCCGCTTATAGCTGGGCGCCGAGAAGATGCGCAAATGGTCCGCTGTGATCACTGTGACTGCGACGCTGTGTCCCGAACTCCAGGAGCCCCTTGCTTCCCCAGGGACCTTCCGCATGAAGAGCTTAGGACAGATGTCCAGCTGGGCGGAGAAGCATCAGGTCTTCGGAGTGCTGCTGGCAAGCATTTGTGTTTTTGATTGATTTTGGATTGTTCCATGGGCAGATGTGGTGGCATGTCACCACAACCCTGTGCCAGGCCTCCCTCCACTCGCTGCAGGTCACGCTCGTTCGAGCCAACGCCTTCGACCGCTATGTCCCCGCCTGGCTCCGAGATACATTGGGCATCACTATCATTGGGCCGTGAGTCGTCCCGCAGGTGGAGCATCTCTCCAGCATGGCGTTTGCGGCGCATGCAGTGGAGCGTAAGTTTGCGGAGGCACCATGTCTCAGGGGTCTCTGGTGCAGGCGTTCTTTGGCATGTTGCGAGATGAGATCTGAAGCACACATCCTTACACAGCCCTTGGAAGGAGATCAAAGTGAAGAGCGACTCATTCCTGATCAGGTGCCCCTGCTCCTTGCATCTTACATCCCAAACTACCAAGTTGGAGCCACCGAGCATCACATCGCTGAGAAGCACACACAGAGTTAGTTTACCTTCGTTATCATTCGTTGTATGGGCATGGCTGATACTCATTGATAGGGCTACACGGGCTACGTGGGATGCAGCCCTTATCATCGAATAGCAATCTGAGATCATGATCATCAAGAGAAGCGCGGGTGAGGGAGTTCGGCGAATCGTCTTTCGCAAGTTCGGCTCAAGCCCTGCGGTCGGCATTCGAAGCGAGTCTTCACTCCTGCTCCGGTGGGATCCTCAAAGTCACCTTGGTGCTCGTCTAAGCCGTGTTCATATGTCCTGCCCAGGACCAAGGATGGGCGGACAGATCTGCAGGCCCCCATCATGAAATGTGCGAGGTAGATAAAGGGCACATGCTCGGTCGCTTCGTTGCTAGCACTTGGCAGGGTTCTTGCTTCCTTGATCCCTCAGCCGGCTGAAAGCATTGCTCTGCTCTCTCAGCTCCGTACTCGTGGAAGGCAGTTGTGCAGCCGGCCAAGCGAGACCGGCGATGCAGTCGACCAGCTCAAGGCCAGCGGAATGCTCGAACTCCCGAAGCCCAGCAAAAGACCCGCACGCGACTAGGAGACATGTGGCAATGCGCTGCAGCTCAGCCTGAGTGCTCTGCATGTGAACCATCCGAGACTTGATGCCCCTAGGTCGCCGTGTCGCCGCCCCCACTGGTCATGGGTGCCTGGGCACTGCAGTTCTCTTGCAGCAGAGCATAGAGTAGTTAGATCCTTCAGCCTTCAAGAACGCCGCCAACTCAAGTTGTGTTACTCAGCACTTTGCCAGAAGTTCTTCCAGCACCGCACCACACTGCCCAGGGCCCGAGGATCTGAAGCAGCTTTTCTCCAAAGCAAAGACAGTGGCTGAGCGGGTTGAGACGGCCCCGCCGCACGAGAAGGCACGGAGACTTGAGAACTCGATGAAGACTTTCACAGGCAGCTTTACATTCGAGGCTCATTGCTTGCAGTACTTCAGGATTCCTACATCGAAAAGACCCTGCAAGCTGCAAGCCTCACATCTCTGCAGCGTGATGCCCCCTGGCCTTGTTTGCAGGCTGCCGCGTGGAAGGAGTGCAATAAAACCTGGGACCAAGTGACGGAGGCACGCCCAGAAAGAGAGAAAGCAAATGAGAGAGGGAGACCAGCGGGCCGTCGTGGCCGCCGTGGCCAGCGTGCCCACTTCAGATGTCCGCCTTTTGCAAGGTTTATGTACTGTGGCCTCAGGGTTTAGAAGTTCAGGGGCAGCGAAACTCAACCCTAAGCTTTAAACTCCAATCTATCAGAGACACCTCCGGGGGCGCCTCTCCGCTGAGCAGAAGAAGAAAAATGGAATCAAAAAAGAGACTGAGGATTGTTGGCCAACTTGCAGCGTTCCATGCGTTTCAATCCGAAGCAGGAGGAGCCCAGCAATCTCTGGGAGAAGTCCAGCTCAGACAAGATGTTGGGGAAGGGGGGAAGGGGGAACTAACAGCATTCCACTCGGCACAACTCGAAACAAGCGGACCCAGCAAGCTGTGAAACAAGTCCGTTTGCCGAAAGGATCCGAAAGGCATTCAGTGCGGGGCCATCTTTCACCGATCCGGCGACTCTCCTGGAAAGTGTTACATGTTGCGGTGTTTCTTAGGGCATGCTAACTTCGTAAATATTGGATTGCAGGTGTTCATAAACGCATAAGTAAAATTGATTCTTGCTATAAGTACTCAGTTTCCTGCATACTATCTGATGAAAGAGATGTCAAACAAGACACAAGAAACCATAAGCGCTCTCGCGGCCCTTCAGGTTCCAACAATAGTAATAAGAATGCAAGAACAAGACGACAGCAACAAACTTGAGAAACTGCGATTCAAAATCACAATGCGCAGAATAAGCATTTTAAAGACGCGAACAATCGAAAAGCAGAGACTGCAAAGCGAATAGTGGAAGAAGCAGAGGTGAAGCGATGGTGCGTCCTTGACTTTGTGCTTGGAGCGTAGGGTTCATGGCTTCCAGCATGTCTCATGGGCCCTATGGGCCCTATGGGCCCTTTCGACCTTCCGCCCCAAAGCCTTGCGAGCCTCAGAAGCCCCCACGTGTCAAATTATCCACCCATTTACTTAACCTTCAACCTGAAGCTTGAAGCCCGAGAGGCCCAGAAGGCCAAGAAGGAGGCTGCAAGACACGAGTACAAGGACTGCTGACCTTCACTTGGGGGGGTGTTCCTTCGGAAGCCGAAAGCTTAGCGACTTTTGCAGGGGGGCCCACCGCTGTACACTGTAAACCAAAGACGGCTCACCGCGCAAGTATCATCAAACCACCCTCTTCATATTTCTGGCATGGCTCGCGGCCTCACCAAATACCTCCCCAATGCCTCACAGCTGTTTCCGTAGGAGGCCCAGAAAGCCCTGGCCGCCGTGGAGGCGGCGCCCGCCTCGCAGCGAGCGGCGGCCTGGCTCGGGGCTCAGATGGCCTCAGATGCGCTGAGATGGGCTCAGATGGGCTCAGAAAAAAGGGGGGGTCTTGGGGGGGTTCTTCTGTAAGTTAGACTGAGAGGGGTACAGCTTGCCTTGCAAAAACTAGCGGCGCCGGGGTTTCTGTTCAAGTCCTGATGGCAAATCTGACTACATCTGAGCTTAGGAAGCAGTGTGAAGCGACCTGGGCAGCTGCTCTGGCAACTTGTCTACAGTGAGATGCAACAGTTGCACAACTTGCTCCACAAGGCTATGGAAATCTTTAAGATCAAGCGTTTGGAGAGTGCGACATGTAACAGTCGCTGCCTTTGTGATCTTCGCCACTGGATGTGACCGGGATTCTGGGATAATGGCAGTGCTTGTGCCTCTCCAGCAAGGCAAAGGGTGCCTGAGACCGCCATTTTGTGATTTGGGCATCTGGTACAGAAGGCTGAGGTAACAGAGGGTCGCAGGTACTTTCATCTCATACACCTTTAGGGTGCTGAAAGATCAGCCTTCGTTGGCACGATGCCTCCGACGAACAGTTGCACTTTGTGGGTGCCTGAACGGCCACGAAGTGGAGCCCTAACCTGACATCGGAAGCTAAACATGCATGATCCTCACCGGTTCGTTTCTGCGTGCAGCCGTCCCTGCGCCCAGCCTAGAGCAAGTTAACATTAACAAGTCAGGCCAGCTTTTCCTGAGCGCTTGCAGAAGGCTCTCTGAATAGATGTGCACTGCTTGCGCAAGTTTTCCTGTGGCCGTCGCATGGGCACTCGCTGTCCCTTCTTTTAGATGAGCTCCAGCCGCCACCATATACAGAAACCCTATTGACAGTATCGTGAAAATTCCGCATTGGCTGGGAGTCAATGGTCCCTCCAACTTGGCAGCTTGCTTTCACCAGTGAAGTCAGTGCCGACTTGGAACCATGCCCTTTGACTTCTCTGATTTTCGTTGAATGGTATGAAAAAGACCTTGAGTCGCCAGCACCCATCTCTGAATCACTGAGATCCCCCAAAGCTGCTGGTCCTATGCGAACCATCGTTGGAGTGTTGTGAGTTTGTTCCACGCGTGTTGTAGGGTATTCCCTGTCTTCTCTGACAGTCGGCCAGCTCCCCCGAGCCAAACCCCTCAACCCCTCAACCCCTCAACCCCTCAACCCCTCAACCCCTCAACCCCTCAACCCCTCAACCCCTCAACCCCTCAACCCCTCAACCCCTCAGCCCCTCAACCCCTCAGCCCCTCAACCCCTCAACCCCTCAACCCCTCAACCTAGGGATTATAGAACCCCCTATGGTTAGCCCTAGGCTCAACCCCCTGGAAGGTACCAGTTCCTGGAGACCATGATGCGCCTGGCCGAGGCGAAGTACGTCCGAACCGCCAAGGCGCCAGACCTCCCAGAGGCCGAGTGGGGCTTAGGATTCCGATCCTGAAAGGAGTCGCTGTAGTACTGCCCGAAGTAATAATAGTAACAGTAGTAGTAATAAGAGTAGTAATAAGAGTAGAAATAAGAGTAGTAATAAGAGTAGTAAGAAGAGTAGTAAGAATAGTAGTCAGAATAGTAGTAGGAATAATCGCAAGTATTGTAATGGAAGTAGCAATCGCAAAAAATAGTAATTAAAAGTATTGATAGCAGTGATAGTGCTTGTACGCATAGTAGCAAAATGGGAATCATAGTTTTCATCGTAACGCTAGCTGCTAACCATAACGACATATCTTAGATCTGTTGCAAGTACAAGGTGGGTTAATAATACTCTTTCTCCACCAGCTAGTAGACCTAAGTCTGCAGGTTCTTTACGACGGTTTCGTGGACAAGTGCACTAATCACAACAAGTTGTCCGTATGCTAAGTTCGCCTGTCTTGTTTGGTGGGTGAACGAAGGGCGGATACAATATGAGCTGGAGAACGTACACCAATAGATGCAGTATTAGCGGGTGTACATGGGCTTGATATCAAAGGTCAGGTGAAGTAGGACTAAAATCCCCATTAACTTGCCATTTGGTCTTTAATGTATAAGATTATTGCATTCACGCTGTGCCCTCGTGAAATTAGAACATTCATACAGGAAAAGGGCACGTGCAATCCTTACTAGCTTTCCAAAAGACTTTACACATGCAATAAATCTTCGGTTCTCGAAAGTCTTGAGCGTGCGTGTGATGAGATTTATCGTGGCTTCTTCCGAAGCTAGGCTGGGATTCCAGGCGCAATTTATGATGCAGACGTGCGGTTCCTGCGCCCAACTTGGAACTTGAAGCATTCGCACTCGCACTGAGGGTAGAGTCCCGCATACCAGGTTTGAAGCCAGGCTGCTGTATGGCCCGGGTGATTCCGTGTTCACAGCTCGCGCCCCTAAAGAACGGTTAACGACAGAGCTGCAATCTGTTTCTGAATGATCCACCATTGCATGCTTAGTCTCACTCTGACTTTATGGGGCACAAAATCTCTTTGGGCAAGCAGCGCCCTCCACACCCCTGCCGGTATCGCATCCGCGACTGCAACAGTACTGGCAACATCAGTGTGTGGCCAGGTTTAGGGTTTCTGAGGTATTGTTCTGGATTTGAGGGGTTCCCCGGTGGCGGCTGCTGGTAGCACTTGAGAACAGCTTTCGCCAGTGGAAGCACAGACACAACTTGAAGTTTGCTTGTTGGGGCACAGTATGGCAAAGTTTTCTCGGTGGAGGCTCTGACAATGCTAATGTCCCAGCATTTGGACGAAGAGTTCTCGCCCATCCACCAGCAGGAGCTGCAACTTGGCATGCAACTATGGTTAGATATCTATATCTGCATATATATATATATATGCTCACCCCCCCCCCCCCAATGGACCAACCGCGAAATGGAAAAGAAATCCAAACATCCAAAAATCCAAAAATCCAAAGTTCCCCGGACAATCTCCCAGGAAACTTTGGATTTTTGGATTTTTGGATTTTGTGCTTTTCATGCTTTTTTTATGCTTTTTGTGCTTTTCCGTGCTTTTTTGTACTTTTTGCACTTTTTGGCACTTTTTACATTTTTTGCACTTTTTTGTGTCTTTTTAATTTCGCAATGTTTTGCAAATATTTGTCCTTTTGAATGTTTTCCAAAAATCCAAAAATCCAAAAATCCAAAAATCCAAAAATCCAAAAATCCAAAGCTCTCCGGACAATCTCCCAGGAAACTTTGGATTTTTGGATTTTTGGATTTTTGGGTTTTTGGATTTTTGGACTTTTGGATTTTTGGATTTTTGGATTTTAGGAGTTTTGGATTTTTGGATTTTTGGATTTTGGATTTTTGGATTTTTGGATTTTTGGATTTTGGATTTTTGGATTTTTGGATTTTTGGATTTTTGGATTTTTGGATTTTTGGATTTTAGGAGTTTTGGATTTTTGGATTTTTGGATTTTGGATTTTTGGATTTTTGGATTTTTGGATTTTTGGATTTTGGATTTTTGGATTTCTAAGATTTTTGGATTTCTAAGATTTTCACATTCGAGGTTCTCCTTTTTTGACTTATAAGAGGGCGGCCATTCACATGTACCCTCGTCAGAATTTCAAATACATCCAAACTACTCAAAACGTGAATGAAAATCCCAAGTAGCCTGCTCAAAGAGCCAGTAAGATGTTGAAATATCTGCTCAAAAAGCGATGAGAAGCGTTCAAGAAAGTAGTAGGGGCTTAGGTCCAGTCTCTTGCTAGTGAACTACTTGGAATCCTGTTCAAAAACTAAAGCACTCACAAAGTAAGGGCTTTCATCAGATACAACCTTTTCTAAACAGTAGGTACTCGGATCCCAGAATGGTTCTTATTGAAGAAATGATAATTCAGCTTCTTTCAGATGCAAAAAATAGATATTGGCAAATATAGGCTTTCTTTGCTACAGCCTCCTTCTTAGCAAAGGCCTGTGCATAACACATGTACGTGTTTTCTCAGTGATTTGAAAAAGTAAGACTTTACATGGTTCTCATATACGGAAGCAGTATAATCAAAACCTTCTAGAATATGCAATTTAATATCCTGTGAATTTAGTGTTCACGTTTCGAGTAAGACGCCATTGAAACTCTGATAAGGGTGCATTTGAAGGGCCGCCCTCTTATATACACGAGATACTTACAGGGGCTCCATCTGCAAGATTATAAAATAAGAGTTCAACCGAACCTCATAGCATGAAATGCGCGCCCTGGAAATGAACGCACACTTCACTTCCATACAGGAAGTCCCTGACCCTCGAGTGGACAGTGCACTAGCCGTATATTGGGCCTAAGCCCTATTACTATCTTGAACGCTTCTGTTCAGCCTCTTGTTGGCTGTTTGAGTAGGATATTTCGAAATCTCATTGGCTTTGTGAGCAGGCTACTTAGGATTTTCACGATACAGTCTTCAATCGAGTACTTAGTTAAGACGTTAATCAGATTCGAGCAGGGTTTACTGCAATAATCACAGGTGGGCAATTCAATATTAAGAGCCTGAATTAAAGGATCAGAAAACTAAAACACTCGTTATCGCAAAGTCAGGGTGTTCATGACATATAACCTTTCTTAAACAGCAGGTACTAGGATCCCAGAATGGTTGTTCTTGGAAAAAATGATAATTCAGCTTCTTTTAGATGCACAAAAGTAGATATTGGCAAATACGGGCTTTCTCTGCTACAGCCTGCTTAGCAAAACCCTGTGCATGACACATGTACGTGTTTACCTCAGTGATTTGAGGGAGTAAGACTTGACATGGTTCTCATATACAGAAACAGTATAATCAAAGCCATCTAGGATATGCCATTTACTATCCTGTGAATTTAGTGCTTATGTTTCGAGTACTTAGGACGCAATTGAAACTCTGATAAGGGTGCATTTGAATGGCCGCCCTCTTATACGTCAAAAAAAAGGAGAACCTCGAATCTGAAAACTTTTCAAAATCCCAAAATCCAAAAATCCCAAAATCCAAAAATCCCAAAATCCAAAAATCCAAAAATCAAAAGTTTCCTGAGAGATTGTCCGGAGAACTTTGGATTTTTGGATTTTTGGATTTTTGGACTGGAAAAGCACATTCAAGAGGACAAATATTTGCAAAAGTATTGTGAAATTAGACAAAAGTGCCAAAAAATGCAAGAAGTGCAAAAAAGTGCAAAAGTGCAAAAAAGTGCAAAAAGTGCAACAAAAAGCAGAACAAAAACACAAAAGAATACAAAACACACAAAAATGCACGAAAAAATGCACAAAAAAATCACAGCAAGCACAAAAAGCATGAAGAAGTAGACAGGGAAAGCATGGCAGGGTGCAGTGTCTAGAGACCCTCATACATGTCGATGTGGGTCCATTGGGGTTGGAGGTTGGTCCATTGGGGGGGGCGACCATATATATATATATATATATATATTTTAAACACATTGTATAATGATATGTATCGTATATGCTGTGTAGTTTGAGTTGCAGCGATCTCATTTCAGGAGACGGGGGCGGTTGGGGGGTCCCATCGTGTCCAGGCAATTCCAGGTGGACCTGATGACAGAGGAGGTTGATTGCGTCTTCAAGAACAACCTGAGCTGCTGTACTCAGACATGCACCTGCTTGATCTTGCTTGACCGACACCATATGTTCGCTCACCTTACCTGCCAAAGGTGTGCTGAATGCTGCCTTCCTGATCTACGCGGGCTCTGTGGACCATCGCCTGCAAGAGCTGCACAGTGGATAGAGATCTCGGCTCCTGACGTAATGATCTGTTCATTTTGTGGCAATGCCTTACGCGCAAGGAAGTGCCAGCAGAGATGCCATACGTCAAAGATCAGCTCTCGAAGAACAAGAGGCGTTGAGAGGGGCATATGGACTATGGAACTGAATCCTATCTCTTGCAGGAACCTACTTGTCTTAGCTACCGGCTGCAGAAGACAAGTTAGTCCGTGCGTGTGCTTGTGCTGTTGACCTGCCAGGCCCCAATCTGCAAATCCTGTCAAAGCTTAGTTTAGGCAGTTGAGCTGTAGATGACTCTGCAGCTTGCAGGAAAATGACGTTGCCGGACTTCTACGCTTTGCTGGATGACTGCACCGCACCCAGTGTTTCGTGCATGCTCGTGCACGGGATGGCTGGATATTTGGAGCTTGAGCCGTGCACAGGGATAGGAACTCGGCAGCACCAACACCGAGCCTGACAACAAGTCTTTATTCCGCTGGTACGACGCTACATTGTCGGTACACCTTTCCAAGCGATTTAGGCGATGCTTACGATGAGCGCTTCTTGCGACGACACGCCGCTCGGGCCTTCCAGCTGGGGGGCATGTGGCAGATTGACGAGGCGAGTGGGGCCCAGTGGCCTCTTGGGCTCGTGGGCACGTGAGCCCCACGCTGATCTTCTTAGAGGGCTGCCCCGTCTTCTCCAAAGTTTGGAGGTTCCCAGCGCTGTGGTACAGACCCTGTGGGCTGGCAGGTTTCATCTGGCCGTCACATGCAGCTGAGCTTTGTGGAGTGCGTGCCCCAGCAAGGCGGTGCCGTCCTTCTTGAAACGTCTCCACGCGCAATGGATATCTCTGGCTGCAATGGCAAGCTATCAGCAGACCCCACAGCAAGGTTCATCATGGCAATCGGTGCTGTGTGCTCCTCAGTTAGAAGACAGGGAGTGCAACGAGTGTTGGACATGTCAGACTCTGCGCTTGAAGCGGCCTTTTGCCGACAGAGGTGATCTTCCTGCGCGAGTTCTATCGGCCGGAAGAGTTTGCAGACTTGCTTGAGGAGAGGGATAAGAGGATTGGGCTAGGACTCATCAGGGCCTGTACGGAGTCCTTTCGTGCGACAGACTTGGCTACGATGCTTTGTTTTGCCTCTGTGTCTCTGTGTCTCTGTGTCTCTGTGTCTCTGTGTCTCTGTGTCTCTGTGTCTCTGTGTCTCTGTGTCTCTGTGTCTCTGTGTCTCTGTGTCTCTGTGTCTCTGTGTCTCTGTGTCTCTGTGTCTCTGTGTCTCTGTGTCTCTGTCTCTGTGTCTCTGTGTCTCTGTGTCTCTGTGTCTCTGTGTCTCTGTGTCTCTGTGTCTCTGTGTCTCTGTGTCTCTGTGTCTCTGTGTCTCTGTGTCTCTGTGTCTCTGTGTCTCTGTGTCTCTGTGTCTCTGTGTGTGTGTGTGTGCGTGCGACGTGTGTCCGTGGAGGAGTTTGTGCTGGACCAGCTGCAGCCTGTTGTTATGGAGCAGAGGCTCCAGTGGGAGCGCAGAGGGATCCGCTACCGCAGTCAAGCTGAGCATTCGGCGAGGCCCGAGAGAAACCGCCGCAACGTGGATTTGCTCGCAGCTCAGATCAGTTCAAAACTCGAGCGGGTGCAGAGTACAGCTTCCATTTCTTGTGGGGTTCCACGCAAAATTCTACAATATCATCAGGCTTCACGTCTTCGCAAAGGCTTTTGCGTTGACAGAACTTGAGAGTGCCTTTTTGCATTAACAGAACTTGAGACTACTCAGGCAGCTGACCCACAAGACCATTCGCAAGGTGTGCAAGGACGTCTTCGAGGCAGCCGATGAGGACTGAGCAGAGACACCCCCCCCCCCCCCCCCTACACACACACACACTCACACACACACACACACCCACACACCCACACCCACACCCACACCCACACACCCACACCCACACCCACAACCACACCCACACCCACACCCACACCCACACCCGCACCCACCCCCACCCACCCACACGCACACCCACACCCACCCACAGGCACAGGCACAGGCACAGGCACAGGCACAGGCACAGGCACAGGCACAGGCACAGGCACAGGCACAGGCACAGGCACAGGCACAGGCACAGGCACAGGCACAGGCACAGGCACAGGCGCACCGCGCACAGCTCAACGCCCACGTCCACGTCAATCAGCGCACGCGCAACTGCGCACCGCACACTCACGAGCACGCGCCGATGCTCACTAGTAACCCAACAAAGGTCACACACACCCATATCCAGCACTTAGCACTGCACATGC